TGCAGCAGTGGGGGACTGGGTGACGAAAGGCCGCTGTCGCCTAACTACCGTGCTGCTGGAGTCTGGAGAGTTGGCCATCTAAACCTACTGAAGGTTGGTGACACTGGCCATAGCCAGCGTGAATTTAAACTTGGGAAAGGATCGAGCAGGCAGGAAGCGCTCTTATACTGTGCCAAACATAACACAAGTTGGTGGATTGGAGCCGCGACACAAACGGAAGAGGCGAGTCACTGAGTGTGCAGGGACGTGACCGCAACAATTTATTATAAATATAAAAAATCATGTATAAGCTGACGCGCAATAGCATTTACATCTACTGTATACAGAACAGGGGGGTCTTTAATTGATTAGGAGCAAAACGGGGGTCCTCACAGAACTTGCCAAAATTAGAGATCCAGTGCCGGTAGAGAGTCCCGGGGGACCTTCTTACTAGAAAGACATAGTGCCAGCGTAGCTTGTACGTGTTTGTAGATTGACCAAGTTAGAAAACTTGCAATTCCAACAGGTTGATCATTGAAAGATAGCATGATTTAATGATAAAGTGACACACAGCAGGCAGGGTATTTATGCATCCAGCTACCCCTCCTAGAATGACCCTAATCACACCAATAATGGTGTACCAATAATTCTACCCTCTACCCTCCAATAATGTTGAACTCCAATAATTGTGGGCCTGTCAGAGAGAATTAGGCAAAAGAGGACTGAACTAGCAAGAATGGGGATACAAATAGCAAACCCTAGAAGGGTTGTACTCGCTACAGAGCACCCCACTACAGGCTAGAGCATAATATTCTGACACACCCCCATAGCCAAAGTGGGGTGTAATCAGCAGAGGAAACAAAGCAGTACAAGCTCAGGGTGGATCACGATGTCACCACACATTCTGAGCACAAGCAAGAAGCAATAGTTTAAGGTTCACAATTATGAGCAAAGCTAGAGGCAGTCACGGGGGGCAAGTGAGGAGGAGGAGGGCTGGCGAGAGGAGAGTAGATAGGAGGCGACGACTGAAGCTGCAGACACACGGGCAACAGACGGCTCTGGTGCGACAACGTGGCTACCGGGAATGAGTGCCCCGGAGTACAGGAGTAACAGGCTCCGCGGCTAATATGCGCGGCAGGAGCAACGGACCCACAGGCGACGGCGCAACCGGCTCTCTGAGCTACCGGTGGCTAATCGACCCCCGGAATACAGGCGCTGCGGACTACACGACGGCGGCCTCCGCTCAACCTCCTCCAACTGTCCCACACCCCTCGACACACACCCCCTGCTGAACCCCTAGCTCCACTCCGACGGTACCCCCCTTAAACCCCAAACCCTAGGCTCCCACACACCACCCCCCTCAGCGGCAGCTGTAGCAGAGGGAGACGAGGGAGGAGGAGGAGCAGGGGGAGGAACTCACAACCGACACCCCCATAGCCGCCACCCCCACACTCTTCACCCCCAAACCCTAAAACGGGCGGAACGGGGGAAGGAGCGCGGGGGACGGCGAGGGGGACGGCGCGCGGCCCCCAGGACGCCACCACGGGGCAGCGAGGGGCCGCGCGCGGCTCCTTAGGGCGCCGCGACGGGAATTGGGGGGGGGGGGGGGGGGGGGGGGGGGCGCGACGGGAACGAGGGGCCGCGAGCGACGGGAAAGAGGGGCCGCGGGCGACGGGATCGGGGGGACGCGGGCCGCGTGCGACGGGAACGAGGGGCCGCGGGCGACGGGATCGAGGGGCCGCGGGCGACGGAATCGAGGGGCCGCGGGCGACGGGATCGAGGGGCCGCGGGCGACGGGATCGTGGGGCCGCGGGCGACGGAACCGAGGGGCCGCGGGCGACGGGATCGAGGGGCCGCGGGCGTCGGGATCGAGGGGCCGCGGGCGACGGGATCGAGGGGCCGCGGGCGTCCCCCACGGTAGGAAACCGCCGCGCGCCTCGGGGCGCACGGCGGGCAGAAAACCGCCGCGCACCTCGGGGCGCACGGCGGGATGAAAAACCCTAAAAATTTTCGCGGCAGGAAGAAGACGACGCACGCCCGAGGCGCGCGAGAAGCATAACAGCAGCGGAAGCATTTGGTGGTGGGCCCACCCACAGGATCGACCCAACAGGATCGTCCTGCTCTGATAGCATGTCAGAGAGAATTAGGCAAAAGAGGACTGAACTAGCAAGAATGGGGATACAAATAGCAAACCCTAGAAGGGTTGTACTCGCTACAGAGCACCCCACTACAGGCTAGAGCATAATATTCTGACAGGGCCTACAATAATTGTGACAATTATTGTAGGCCCTGTAGGCCTCCAATAATTGTGGGCCTACACTGAAACCGAGCAGCATACCGGTATACAGTATTCGTTATAATGTATTCCGATTTCCAACACTCCCCCTTGTTGTAGGTTTTAGTGCACTCGTTCATCTTGGAGGATGGGGTGGATGAGGTGGTGTACCACCACAAGGTAGGGGTGCGCCCAAATCAAACTAGGGTTTGGTGTTGGCCAAGCTGCCTATCAATGTAGCACCTTTACCTTCTCAAGCTCTTGGTGCTTCCCAACTCCAACCAAACCTCTTCCCTTCACATTTTCTAATCCCTCCTTCCAATCTCGCCTTTCCAGATCTGGATCTAGGGAATAATGGCTGCTGCTGAGGAAATCGTAGCAGCTCTATGCCGAAATCTCCTCGTAACCATGGCGGAATGCGCGTATCGTCAAGGCGGAATGCCCTTAGAGCACGCCAAATGTCTGAAACCGTAGCCTTTAAGATGCGTGGTTGTCAGTGCTGCTGTCTTTTTTGCACGCTTACTGTGCCACACGAAACCACAACAGATGCGCGACTATGACGACTGCAATGACGCATGGCGTGCTGCTGGCGCGGAACTTCATTGGCAGGCGCACACTTCGCGCAATTGAAGCGACGACCTGCCGTTCGTCTGCGGCTGACAATCTGGTGCGCATCTGCTGCAGCATTTTCTTGTCTGCACCTGTTGCATCTTCGTGGTCCTTTCTCCTTCTACTTTTCTCCCCCTACCTCGTGCTGTAATGGCACAAGGCTACCAAGTCTTGAATCCACACCAAAGGGTGATGCCAAGTCCGCTCAAACTTCACCCATGTTTTCTTGTAAGGGCACGTGTCCTTGAGGTTGAACTTCGGCCAAAAGTTGAACTTTTAGAAAGGTTGTACGCGGTAGGATACAGTTGAGAGACGTGTCGCCACGTTACAAAGCGGTACTAGGCTCGAACTTTGACAATCTACACCAAAAGACACGCGCCCTAATGCTCCCCCTATACTCGAGCCGACACACGGTAGCAGGAGGAGTTGCCGAACTCCATCAGCTGGAGGGTTGCGCATGTCGACGCACTCCAAGTATGCCGAGAACTGCACTCCATGTATGCAGAAATGCCCATTCCAATTATGCAGTGCACATCAAGTATGCAGATGTGCACACACCAGGTATGCAGAAATGTGAGGAGCAGGTATGCAAAACGTGCAGACCAGGTATGCAGTAATGCGTGCTCCCATGTATGTTTTCCATTCTTCCCTCAGATGGTGCCATTCATCAGCAACAACCAGCCGCACAATACCGTTGCATCAGAGGACGAGGGATGGTGGCCGGCTGCATCCTTTCTGCCCGCTCCCTCAGCCTATTGGCAACACTTGAGCAGGTGACAGGTCTTCCCCTTATGCTTCGTCACCCCATGTTCCACTCCAGTGCCACCAGATACACTCCACATCCCACTCCCCCCCACCCATGTGCTTGTAGTCATCCACGTACACAGCTATAAGCACATGAGTGAGCGTGGAGTTAGGTGATGCCATGTTGTGCAGCACAGCTCGAAGAGGCCGCACAGGTAAGATCAACACCAGCATTCTTGACTTGGTGATTATCAGCAGATGGTGCGCCCGCTGTTGCGCATCCCACGTTGTTTCCCACATCATTGTCTTCAACCTCCTTTGGTACAGTCACTCCTGCTGGAGGCAAGTCATCTGCCGCAGCACCCACGCTTGCTTCGGCTTCACTGAATTCATCAGCTGCATCAGCTCCAGGTACATCTTGTTTTATTGAGACTGCTCCATCGCCTCCCGTATCCACCGCGAGCCTTTGTCCTTCTCCCCCTGAAGTCCACACCGCAATGTCGGGTGAGACTTCATCGTCATGATGCTGGTGTTTAAGAAAAGACCCAGCGTCCATTAGCATATCCTCAAAGGGTCGCGGTGAGTCAATGTCCATGTCAACCTTACGTGTCGGATTCCGTACGACGCAAGCTTTGAGTGCCATGCGGTATGCTGAACGGGTACGCAACTGTACTCCAGGTGTGTGGGAAATCGCACTCCCGTGTGTATCCAAGTGCACTCTAGGTGTGCGGAGAAGTGTACCCCTTTCACGATCATCCTTATTCGATGACGCATCATCGCGGGAATGTCCAGGATCATGAGCGGATGTAAGTGCCGGCTCATATTTCACCATAAGCACTCCATGCACGTCCTTGCCAAGTCCAATCCGCACACACTCGTCTCCATCAGACATGGTGATTTCGGTGTCTCCATCAGCAACCGTGTTGATGTGAGCCCCTTTCTTCAACAGCTGACAAAAAGAGAGCAGGTTGTTCTTCAAGCCAGGTACGTAGATGACTTATGTGTAGCGAACTGTTGTCCCATCAGGTGCTATTGCTCTAATCGTTCCCGTCATTGTGCTGCTCAGTTGGCTCCCATCAGCCAGCTCCACATAAACAGCTTCGTCCAGCTCCTTTAACTATTCAAACCAGCACTTGTCCGAAGTCATGTGCTGGCTGCATCCGCTGTCCAGCAACCACGACGACCCTCCAGCCAAGGGTAAGGTTGCTTGTGAAGATTGCGCCGTTGCAATGCATATGACAGTACGTTGGTTGTCTCCCCTGGCTGCTCCTTGCTGTAGTGACGCATTGTTGTCACGCTTGGGGTTGCGACTCCTTCGTAGGGAGAACGAACGGCTGCTGCCGGTATGCAGTTTTGTCCTTCCGTTGGTATACGGTTCCCACCCTGGTGGTGACTAGCCAGGGGGTGCCTTGGTACACTTGAAGAAGGGGTGGCCTGGCTCCTTGCAGTACCAACACACAAGAGATGAGCGATCCGCACCTCCATCCTTGCCATGCGTTTTCTTCCCGACTGATCCCTCCTTGTTTCCACTGGTGTCCTTAGCAGTTGGAGAGGGTGAACGGTCTCCACGGGCTTGTTCAGCCATGCGAGGTGGACGCCGGTCACGGTTAGCCTTCGTGATGAGGTCGTGATATCCCTGTTCTTGAATCAGCATCCATTGCATGGTGAAGCTGTCCGTCACGTTGTGTAGCATTGCCGAGTGCCTCATCTCCTCCCAATGTGTCGGTAGTCCTGTGAGCAGGTTTAAGGTGAAGGTGTCTTCATCCACCATCTTCCCTGCGAGTGCTAACTTATCCCGGATTGCTGTTGCGCGGTTGAGATACTCCTCCACCCTCTCTTGACTCCCCATTTTCAGGTTGTCCAACTGCTTCATAAGATAGGCCTTCGCCACCGAATCTTTTGCCTGGTAAGTGTCCATTAAGTACTCCCATGCTTCATAGGCCGGGCTGTAGGATTCGTGGAACATGTCCAGCTGCAGCTGAATCGTGGCGCTCACATTGTGCAGTAGGAACCAAATCGCAAGTGCCGCACGTTGTGAGTAATCCGCCTGTAGCATTTCCAGCCGCTCCATAGCGTCGTTAATGTCACCATTTCCCATGGTAACCGGATACTGCAGGGTCACAAAGAACTCCCACAGATTTGTCACACGCGCGTTCATGCGAAACCGTAGCGCCCACTCCCGGAAGTTGGAGCCGTCAAACGGAGTAGTGGTGAACGCCTTGTCCACCGTTGCTCCCACCATTTTGCGTGACAGCCATTCCTTGTCTTCTTCCGTGTATTCACGTGGAGCGGGGTCGAACAGAGTAGGCACGGTTGACGGTCGAGGTAGCTGTACCGTGCGTTGCATGTCTCCATTCTGTCCACCAAGTTGACGTTCCAGCACTTCCACATGTTCACGTCGCATGACGCCAGGACTGCATTCCATATCTCATCCGCGTCATGTTGTCCACAGAATGTACGCCAATCGGTGGACGAAGTGCACGCGGAGGTATATCATTGCCGCCATAAAGGTGAGACCTAGCCACGGGAGGAACTCCAATGGGATGGAAATTAGTCGCAAGTCGTCGCAGTGGGGGAGCACCAATAGTGTAGGAGGCAAAGCCCACACCTTCCACGCCCACTTGCCCATTTCCGTCACTCTGTTGCCCAATCTGTCCACTTCCCAGTCTACCATGCTCCATTGCATGCACTTCACTCCCATACTCATCATTCCTCCCTCGTGCATCCCTTTGCTCGGATGATTGAGGTGCGGGATTGGAGCTCCCTTCTCCTTGGACGGATCCATCCCTCCCTTGGGATGACTCTCCTCCTTGAGGTATGCCTATTTCTCCGTCACCATCAATTCCTGTATTGACATTGGATGCATGAGTTTGATTAGTACGCGGAGTGCTTGAATGAGATTGCCCATGAGTGGACAGTGTGTTCCAGGTGCTCGTGCTGAGCCAAGATGGCTTCCTCGAAAGCCGCATATCCAGCATCCACTTTATCGTCGAAGTGCGCCATGATGTTGATCAAACCGTCCACCAAGTGTGCGCTAAACGCGCGGTTGGACCCAGAAGCGAACACCAGGTATACAACAGTGTAGACCGGGTGAGCGGTACTCTGATGTATGCAGATACCTATCCGTCATAAATGTCAGTAAATTCCTGAACCAATTTTGGCAGCATGTCCCTTAGAGTAGCTCTGATACCATGCTAGAAAGGCATAGTGCCAGCGTAGCGGAAACGTGTTTGTAGATTGACCAAGTTAGAAAACTTGCAATTCCAACTGGATGATCATTGAAAGATAGCATGATTTAATGATAAAGTGACACACAGCAGGCAGGGTATTTATGCATCCAGCTACCCCTCCTAAAATGACCCAAAATCACACCAATAATGGTGTACCAATAATTCTACCCTCCACCCTCCAATAATGTTGAACTCCAATAATTGTGGCCCTACAATCATTGTGACAATTATTGTAGGCCCTGGAGGCTTATAAAAGGGACTACACTGAAACCAAACAGCATACCGGTATACAGTATTCGTTCTACTGTATTCGGATTTCCAACACTTCTTACCGGAGGGTTCTATAGCCGGAACAATACGGTAGAAAAACCTTGGGCGCACCCTTATAAAAAACGTGTTTTATTAGAAGCACAGGTGCAAATGAGGCCGGTAAGTGCATAGGTGATGGCATTGGACTGCGCAATGCCTCTCAGTCTGATGGCGATGGCTTGTAGCGAAGGGCGTGCAGGTGCATCCAAGTCTATCAGTCCTGCCTGCCCTGTCAGGAGGCTGGAGTTTTTGAAGCTTCTGCAGGTGTGGGTGGCGAGGGCCATCAGAAGCCGTGGCTGAGCGACTTGAGGGCGGAGCGGATGGCGGCGTCCAGCTGGGGCAGCTGCGCGCCCACCACCTCTGTGACACGCGCGCCGTGCTTCCACACTTTGAACGTCGGCACTGACTGCACGCCCTCTCGCGCTGCCACCTCTGGCAACACGTCGATGTCCACCTGCCAGGGGCGCACACAACATACATGTGTGCGTCATGCGTGCGGCATGCGTGCGTCATGTGTGCGGCATGTGAGGGTCATGTGTGCGTCATGTGTGCGTCATGTGTGCGTCATGTGTGCGGCATGTGAGCGTCATGTGTGCGTCATGTGTGCGTCATGTGTGCGTCATGTGTGCGTCATGTGTGCGGCATGTGTGCGTCATGCGTGCGTCATGTGTGCGTCATGTGTGCGTCATGTGAGCAGTATGTGTGCGTCATGTGTGCGTCATGTGTGCAGCATGTGTGCGGCATGTGTGTGTCATGTGTGCGTCATGTGTGCGTCATGTGTGCGTCATGTGTGCGTCATGTGTGCGGCATGTGTGCGGCATGTGTGCGGCATGTGTGCGTCATGTGTGGGGAGACAGGGCTCCCAGCATGCGGTATGCGGTTGTCTGACCTGCCCTGTGGCATTGGGCTTGGCATGCCACCCACATCCACTGCACCCACATCCACTGCACCCACATCCACTGCACCCTCACGACCAAATCTCGCTGCCCCTGCCCGCTGTTCATGCAGGCCAGAACTTCTCCCCGTCCCCACCACCATGCGTCAGTGCAGGCATCAACGAGAGTGTGGCACACCTTGAGGAACTTGACGGTGGGGTGGGCGGCGCTGAGGCGCTCAAACAGCGGCGCGGCCTGGCGGCACGGGCCGCACCACGCGGCAGTGAAGGCCACCACGACCAGCCCTGCATGCAATGGTGCACGAGGCAATGGTGCACGAGGCAATGGTGCACGAGGTAATGGTGCACGAGGTAATGGTGCACGAGGCAATGGTGCACGAGGTAATGGTGCACGAGGTAATGGTGCACGAGGCAATGGTGCACGAGGTAATGGTGCACGAGGTAATGGTGCAGGGCAGGGGTGAACATTTGGGATGAGAGCACAAGACAGTTCCAGCACCAGCTAAGGTGGCAGAGGAGAAGAGGAGCAGGTAGGGCAGTGTGAGTGAAGCATCGCACCCATGCTGGTGACGGCCCCTCGGAACTCGCTGTCTGTGCGCACCGCCACCACCCTGCCACTGCTGCCAACCCCTCCCCCTGCCGCACTGCCGCCCCTCCTGCCATCCGCCCCACTGCTGCCTGGCATTCCAGCCTTATTCAGCTTCGCTTCCACGTCAGCCAAGGCCTTGGCCACGTCAGCGTCGTTGGGCATGAGCTGGCGCAGCTGCAGGTATTCCCGGTACGCCGCCTCCCACTGCTGCAGCTGCCCTCCACCACCGCCATGCCACGGCCGTGGGGTCACGGGGGGGGATGGTGGGGAGGTGGGGCGAGGGGAGGGATATAGGGGAAGAAAGTTTGAGAATAACGGGGCATGTCGTCAAGTGACACGTTTTCTGCGTTGACGGAAAGGCAAGTCAAGTTGGTCCCTGCGGGTTCGCACCAGTTGTGGAAGAGCAGCGCTCAGCGGCACAGCAGCGGACCCACAAAACTCAGGTCTTGAAACAATGCCTCCCTCCTCACAACCTCCCCTCCATTCTTTCTTCCCTCCTGCCACCACCCGTCCTCTTCCCCCTCCCCCTCCCCTTCCCTCCACGCCCTCCCGTCGCACCTGCGAGTGGCAGGTGGCCTGGCGCAGCAGCGCCTTGCAGTAGGCGGGGTGGGCAGCGAGGGCGCGTTGGCAGTCCAGCAGGGCGTCGTGCCAGCGGCGCTGCTGCATGCGGCACGCAGCGCGGTTGCACAGCAGCACCGGGTTGCCCTCGCCGCCCACCGCTATCCCCCGCGAGTACGCCTCCGCTGCACCCGCCGCGTCGCCCGCCTTGAAGAGCTCGTTGCCGGCCGTGCGGGCCGCCGCCAGCTGGCGTGCGGAGGCGAGCAGCGCGGGCAGCGCGGGGTGGTCGGGGAAGAGCTTGGCGCCCTGCTCCGCGCGGGCCACCGCCACGTCGAACCTGGGCAGGGGACGGGGCGAGCAGGCCTGGTGAGGCTGTCATTGAGAAGTTGAGGTGACGCAAATCACCTTGCAAGCTTGTCCACATGAGCGTGGGTCCATGGAATGAAGGTGGGCAGAGCATTGGTACAGAGTGGGCAGAGGATGGGTACAGCGCAAAACGGGAGGTAGGTCATATTTGAAAAGGCGGCGTTCGAGAAGAGAAGAGGAGCAAAAGAGAGTGGCGCGGAGCACAGGCAACAGAAAGGTGGGGGCGGGGAAGTGTGGCATGCGGATTTGTCCAGTACGGCTGCTGTTGTCCAGTACGGCTGCTGTTGTCCAGTACGGCTGCTGTTGTCCAGTAAGGCTGCTGTTGTCCAGTAAGGCTGCTGTTGTCAGGTCAAGTCTCGGAGGAAGGAAGCGAGTTGACCCGGGAGAATGTTAGGCCGCGCCGCACAGCCCCTTCCTCCTCCGGCCTGCAGATCACCTCCCGGGAGAATGTCATATCACGTCCTCGCCCTCACTGCGTGCACTCTCACCCTGCTGTCTAGCCCCAAACCCTGGACCTGTGCTGGTCCAATGCAGAGACGCATGAGGGGGTGTCTCGCGCACCTGCCGAGCAGCAATGAGAGCCGCACGTCCTCGTCCACCACGTCGCCCTCCACCGCCCTCACCGCCCGCCCTCGCCCCCCGCCCGTCCCCTCACCCGCCACCGACGTCCGCACCGCTGCCAGCGCCCCCCTCGCTGACGTCAGCGCGGCCTCCGCCTCAGAGAGGCGCGCGAGATGCCTGCAGCTGCGCGCCCTCCACAGCCACAGCTGAGGGGACGGGGAAGGGGGAGGAAGAGGGGGGAGAAGGTGGGGGAGAAGGGGAAGGGGGGCAAGGGGCAGGACAGGGCTGGGGGTTTTGGGAGGTAGGTGGAGGCTCGTAAACAAAGCCACTCGAATGACGTGTCAGGGTTAAGTAGCTTGCAGGTGCCCCATGCACCATGTGCTATGCACCATGCCCCATACACCATGCCCCAAGCCCCATGCCCCATGCCCCATGCCCCATGCACCATGCACCATGCACCATACACCATGCCCCATACACCATGCCCCATGCACCATGCCCCATGCACCATACCCCATGCCCCATGCACCATGCACCATGCCCCATGCACCATGCCCCATGCACCATGCACCATGCCCCATGCCCCATGCACCATGCACCATGCACCATGCACCATACACCATGCACCATGCCCCATACACCATGCCCCATACACCATGCCCCATGCACCATGCGTGCAGCACCACGAATCACACATGCTCCACGCACCTGCGGGGCGAGGTCAGCGCCATCTCTGAGCGCACCATCCGCCTCCACCACCGCGCCCTGCCAGTCGCCTGCGCGCACGCTCTGCTCGCACCGCGCCACGCACCCCTCCACGCGCTCCACGCGCGCCCTCTCCTCCGCCGCCTCCCCCTCCGCCATCTCCGCCAGCTGCGCGCGCGCATCCTCCACCCGCCCCAGCCGCAGGTACAGGCCAGACAAACGCTGCCGCCCGCGAGTGTAGCTGCCGTCCAGCCGCACGGCCTCCTCGCAGTCCGCGACGGCGTCTGCCACCCGGTTGAGCGCGGACAGCGCGGCGGCGCGGTTGGCGCGGTAGTGTGCGCGCGCGGGCGCGAGCGCGACGGCGCGGTCGTAGAGCTGAAGCGCGTCGGCGAAGCGGCCCGCCTTGTAGTACTCGTTCCCCGCGGCCTTCGCGTCCTCCGCGCTGCCGCTCGCCAGCGCGCGCGCCATGGACGCGGCGGACGGGTGCGGGGGCGAGCGGGACGGCGAGGGGGATGCGTGCGCGGAGGCGGATCCAGCGGCCGCGCGCATATTGGGATGTCGCGGACTGGCGGACCCGCCGCTGCTGCTGCTGCTGTAACTGTAACCGTCACCGTTACCGCTAGCGCTACTGTTACTGTCGCACCACCCGCAGTTGACGCAAAATGTGGACGGCAGCGACGGGTTGGCGGAGATTTTGAGCGTAGGGGATGGGCGGAGCGACGAAAGGACGGAGCGCAGTGAAGGAGGTTATCGAGGGGCGTGTGCGGCCATACGCGTGGGATCAACGCCGAGTGCGGACTGAGGCCAGCTTCAGTTGCTGACCCCTGACAGCCTGCTCGCCGTCAGCTTCATGTCACGGTGAAACCCCCACAGGTCACGCAGCAACGCTCAAGCTGCCGTGGCCTCGACGCGCACTGTGAGACGCCACGCGGCGCACCAGCAGTGCCGCCCGCAAGCTCGCCGAGGACCGACAGGTGGGCGGCAGGGTTACAGGTGGAGGGCGGCGAGACGGAGAGTGAGGACTCGATGACGAGGTTGGTAGCTCGCTGACGAGTACGGTCGAACTATGGTCTAGACGATTGCTAGCATGATTCGGCTTGAAGGGCGCCACGTTGGCGCGGAATACGAGGGCTTGGGCGTGAAGATGACTTCATGAGCTCGATAGGAGCCCAGAAGCGCGACAGAGAAGTGATCTGCTTGGAAAGCTGAAAGCTGAGGATGATCAGCCAACGTTCGGATGAATCGCGAAAGCTGCTTGCTAGCGAAAAAAATAGCCCTGTTCGATAGGCTAACACCTCGGCGGTGTTCGCCAGCACCTTCGAAAGCAAAAACGACGGGATCAGGAAGGTCAGTCACGCGTTCCTGATCGCGTCAGAGGGTTCGTTAAGGCTTTCGTATACGTTTGTTTGCACTGTTTGTGGTGGAACAGCAGCCACCAAGATTTCGCCCCAATGAAAAGAAGGGCTTGGCGAGAGGGGTTGCGAAAATTTGGAGGATTTCGTATACTCACATAGGCTGGATTTCGTATACTTTTGTCGACCCAAAAGTTTTGAATCAACAGTGAGTGCTACGTGTCGGGAAGATCTCCCTCCCTCGTTCAGCGAGTGAATTAGCATTAATAGGATTACCAATATTTCAAATTTCAAAAGTTTTGAACCTCCCTCTTTCAAATGTATACAAAAGCTTTAAGATCCGTCAGCCTGATCAGTCTGTAAAAAACCGGCCGAGCCTCTCATGCCGTCCGAACTAAATACAAAATTGAGGGCCTGGCGAACGCCCCCAAACTTCCTCAATTTCGAACGGCATGACGGCTGTTGGAAACAGTTGATTTAAAGCGCTTTCTGTCGTGGCGAAACACCAAGTCACAAGCGAAGCAAAGCATATCGAAGCACTGGCGAGTCAACCCTCGGAGGTTGAAGTAACCGCTGGAGGTTACGCGAAAGTCAAAGGTCAGCGACCTTTGACCTGACTAGTACAGTGCGACAGCAAGGACACACAACTGACTCGTTACAGAGCAGTTGCCCGAGTCGTTACTGTATCGAACCGCAACAGCAACAGCAACAACAAAACAGTTATAGCAGTATCCTTTCATATTCCCTGTACTCTTATATAATCTTGCATCTCTTTGCTTTAATTAACTTACTTTGCCCTCACATACCAGCGCAAGGTGGTTCAACAATTCCCACTAAGAAACGCTTCCGCTATTACATTGTTCCTACCAGAGTTTAGTCCTGCAAAGATCCTCTAAGGGCTTTTCTCAGCCCAACATGGTATGAGAGCTAGTCAGGGTAAAACTCAACTACAATCAATCTACTACAACAGCGCTAGACATGGCTACCCAGAAAGAAAGGAGCTCTTCTAACGGCTCCCACGGAACTACCCCTACACCACCGCCTGCCTCTGGCCTGCAAACGGAGGAGAACCCGGCAACAAGACCAGCAGCGGGGTCTACCGAAACTCCCGCGAACCAAGCTTCAGGCTTCGACCCAAGTATGATGGAGAAATTTTTCTCCTTTATGTCCTTCTACGAGCAGCACCAGCAAGCGGGACCTGCGCAATCAAGCAACAACAACAACAACGCCACACCGATGAGTCTCGACGGTTCTTCCTACGTACGCGGAAATCAACAGCAGCAGCCTACCTTTGCTCCGTACGAGCCCCAGCGTGGCTCCGTCAGCTTCATGCCGTATCAGCAACCTTCACCTGGACAAGAGAAGAACTTAGACGCACTTCAAGCTCAGTCGCAGTTCGCGCACGTTTTGAAGTTACAAACATCAAGACCGTTCGACGGGAAAGACTTCTTCACCTGGTCATTCGAGTTTGAGCTGATGATGGAAGGCGCGCAGATTCTTGGTTTCTTTGACGGGTCCCTGCCATACCCAACAAACGGCACGCAGTACGACAAGCAGCAGTACACTTATCAGTCAATGATGGCATACACAATCCTGCTGAGAAACATCACTCCGAGTCAGCAGCAGAACATTCGATCTTACCGGGGATACGGCAACTCTGCCGAGCTCGCGTACAACCACTTGAAGAACCTGTATCAAGCAACGGACAGCGTCAATCAAAGTCGGTTGATGGCGCAATTGACAACAGTGGAAATGAAACCAGGCGAAAAAGGGATGGCGTATATCAGTCGCTGTCGCGAACTGCGCGACAAACTCCTTCGATGCGGAGGATCAATAGCCGAAGAAGCCTTCGCGACAGTCGTCATCGGTGGCCTCGGTCCTCAATGGCGCTCCACCCGAGCCATCCTCCGAGCTCACGGAAAAATCTCCGAAGCAGCACTTTGCGCTGAAATTCACGCCGAGCAACAAGACATGGACCTGCAAGAAGAACGACTCAAGAAGAAGACGTCAGCACCGGAATTCGCTTTTCACACTAAACATCGTTACTACAACAACAACAACAATCAATACCAACCAAAGCCCGTACCACCATTCTGTCATATCTGCAAGACGTCAGGGCATCCCCGCACATACTGTCCCAACCGACAGCAGTCGACATCGACGAAGCGGCAAATTCGACCATCGAGCAGTCAAGTCGCCTCAACACAAGCGAATCCCACCACTCAAGTACAAGTCTCAACGACATCGACAAAGCAACCTGCACAAGGAGCAAGAAACATCGTCAGCTGTATGGCCAAATTAACAGATTCCTGCATCACCGAGTCACCACCACATTACTCACCTGAAGAACAACTCGACAACAGTACGCCTCGCCGCCAGTCACTCCAACCGAATCCGACGTACGCAGCCATCGCCCAAAGCGAACCTTCTGGGAAGGACACCTGGTTCTTGGACAGCATATGTGCTCTTCAGAACGCTTCGTGCAGCAAGAATACCAGCTCCAACACGAAGTAATCATCATCGTCGCCAACAACCAAAACCTGCGCACACGACGACAAGGCGTAGTTCAACTTCAGTCACGGGAAACAAACGTCATACTGCAAATGACAAAGGTCTTAATAGCAGAAGGACTCGGCTACAACTTACTAAGCGTCAGTCAACTGATGGCGAAAGGGATCCACCTCGAGGCAGACAGCTCCACTCAAGAATTCAAACTGTACCACGGGAAGGGCGGACTTTACATCGGGAAGGCAGTATTGAAGAACAACGTCTTCGTCCTCGACTTCGTCCCAGATCTTGGCACCGCCGACAGCGACGGCATCGTCAGCTTTGCTCCTTGGACACACCCTCCAGATCTTGACCCAGACTTCAGCCCCGGCGGTTTCTGGCACTCTCACACGATACCTGCAGCAGAACGAACAAGAGCGTTAGCAACAATTCAACAATCAGCAGCAGCAGAGACAACATCGGCAGCAGCAGAGACAACAACGGCAGCAGCAGAGACAACAACAGCAGCAGCAGGAACATCAACACCGGCAACAGAAACAACAACGACGCCAATCGCTGGTCCTTCAACGACACCAATCCTTATCGATGATTCGCCACCAACACCCGCCCAGCAGCTAGCTCCAACTCAACGAGAAGTCCACCGAAGCGCCAACTTCACCACCGGCTTCTACTCCAACTCCGACATGTATCGGCGCTCACCCGGACATCGCGCCAGCGAAGACATCTGGCATGCACGGATGGGACACCCAAGCAACACAACGTTAAACAACACGATAAGAGCAGGAGTGCTCGACAAAGATTCACTACTACTGCACGACGGGAGAGAACTCCAACGAGTCAGAGGAACATGCTTCACCTGTCCTGAAGCCGACTTACCGCATCAGCCGTTCGTCTCTCACCACAACCCGAGCGCACCAGCGTACGCACCACTGGAGAAGGTGTACAGCGACATCTTGTATAACCGTGAACCCGGACAAGGAACATACAGCTACGTCATCACGTTCATAGACGCCGCCACACGCTACGTCTGGCACTTCAACCTTCCTAGCCGAGACATGGCCTTCGAAGCCTTCGTCGCCTGGCTCCCAGCGGCAGAACGAGAGTCAGGAGTAAAACTGAAAAGTTTTCAAACAGACGGGGGGGGAGAATATCAGTCACAGCGATTCAAGCAGTACCTGGCAGAACGAGGCATCAAAAGGCTCATCTCCCTTCCCTACGCCCATCAACAGCAAGGCGTGGCAGAAAGAATGAACAGGACTCTGCAGAACACCATGCGGAAACTGATACGTGGCATGCGGCTACCCAACCACCAGTGGCCTGAAGCGATGGACCACGCCGTCATGCTGCACAACTTGCTCTCTTCGTCGTCACTCCCGAACAACGCATCACCGCATCTGTTGTGGACAGGAAAACTGGGCAGCACAAAAATGTTACGGGTTTTCGGCTGCATGGTACAGTACCGACCCCCAGCTGCAAGAGCCGGCCGATTCTCCCAACGTGCACAGTGGGGACTACACCTGGGCATCGAAAAGAACTACAACGCGTGGAAAATTTTCGACGTCCACTCAAAAGAAACAGTACCAGCACGTGATGTCCTCTTCTACGAGC